TACAAACCATACAAAACACAGCACCCAGAATCGCATTATAGGCAGCACACAGACCTCACCGTACAGTGCCCCCACTGCCAAATACTCACCCACACAGCACCCACAACTATACAGTCATTCAGCTGTGTGGTCCGAGCGCCTCGGGTTGTGGTCTTTCTTTGCGACGCGGGCTTCCTGACGTCGCCGGACCCGAGCAACAATTAAAAACAGATTCAGCAAAGCAGCCAACAAACCCAACCAAGCAGCCAACAAACCCAACCAAGCAGCCAACCACCTCGGCCAACCAGTCAACCCCATTATCTATCTAAGCATCCAGCCAATTCAGACAAGCAGCCAACGACCTCGGCCAACCAGTCATACACAGCCAACCAATTCAGCCAAGCAGTCAACCATGCACCTTCGACAAGCGGCAATGCCATCACTGCCTCCATTGCTTGTTTAATGTTTTTTATCTCTAAATAATATTTGCGGACTAGGCTCATCAGCCAATCATGAAATTACGATTATCCTGGTTGAATATAATTTTATGAATAATTATCGGAACATTTTATTATTTAACAATATCTAACTTATATCCGATTCGCGTGATCAAAAATCAAAATTTGAATTATTTTTAAGAAATGTCTACCATGCATTAATATAATATTGATTTTTGGAGCCCGACACAAAAGAATTAACATGATTAACATGATTTGTTTTGTTGTCTAGATTATTTATTGTAATAATGATAATTCGAATAGTAATTATTAATTACGCTCTTTTCTATTAATGTGATTAATAAATTTTAAAATTTCAGCAACGTCTTTGATCAGCAGCAACAATTAAACCCTGAAATTCAGTATACATAACCTTAGACCATCGGTGCATGCATGGTGTCCAATATCGTTGCATGGATGGGGTAATTACAGCACTGCACCTAACATGTTATTGGCATTTTTAATCGGTATTTTTTTAGACTGTAAGCTAACAAATTTAATTTTACTTTGTTCATTTATTTCCCTCTGAAATCATAAAGATATTCTCTGAGAGATTGTTTTTTTATTCTGAAAATAACATGGAGATATAGGTCATCAGAAACAATGAATTTTTTGTAGTATGTTAAATGTATACTAAAGAGAGAGAATTTTTCGAATTCTGCCATTTACCACTAACTCGAACTCAAGAAGAATGATATGAACATCGAACGTTTAGAACCTAATTGTTCCATACAAAAAACAACGACTAGAATTATCGCAGGTTTTCAAAAATCAAGATTCATGAATCCAATTCCTGCATGAGAGTCTTAACAGCGTCGCTAATTTTTATACCGCTGCAACCCAGCGCTCTCCTTGAAAATGGTTTTCTCATCCAAATATATTGCTCAGAATTCTTGGAAGCAGATCTAGCATGCGAGTCTAAACAGCGTCGCTCATTTTTCTGTTGCCTCAAACCAGGAGTGTTGCGTTGTCGGTGGCGGGCGGCTAGCTAAACTTTACAGATACACTCAGTAAATGTATATGAGCCTTTGTCCAAATCGCGATGTACTTTTTGCCTTTGAGTGGGACAAACTAACCCAGTTTAAACTAGGAAATGTACTAGGTGCAATGACTGAGTCGCGATTTGAACAATGGGACTCATCAATTCTTCTGAGTTACCCTTAACAAAGCGCCGCTAAGTGGTTGTAAGGGGAGAGACACTGAGCACTCGAGAGGCTTCCGCTACTCCGTCATGATAATGAAGCTTTAAAAACAAACGCTTCACTCACTTCAGAATATCTTCTTGCTGCCGTGTGGCACTATTTCAGGAAATTATCTCAGCGGTTGTTTGCTAAACGAGGATCCAGCATTTTGCATCTCGTGTCTCCAATATCCATTACCGCTCCGAATTAAGCTTTTATTCTAAATGATCTTGGATTTGGTTGGGTAACGTTGACGATTCGCAAAATTATTCAAGCATGAAGACGAATTAAAAGAAAAACATCAAATATCTGGTTAAATTAAGGGCAAGGTGGGTGGTCTCTTGCAACTGGTGATGTTGCAGTGGTTGAACTTCAACTGCAGAAAGCCAGTCTCAACCAATGCCAACCCTCGCACGGAGCGAGGGAAGTGGGGAACCCTCAGCTGAGGGCCAATGAACAGTGAGGGGCTCAACCGCAAGCCATTCTTGACTGTGATTGGCTGCTCGTGCTGGGCAGACGTCGCTCATTGGCTGCGTGACTTTCCCTCAATTCAGGTCTCTCAGGTCGCGGGTTGGCGAGAGGGTAGAGAGTTGAGGCACGATGCCCGATGAGGGCATCAACTGTGATGTTTGGACAGAAAGTGTGATGTTGGTTATGGCAAGAGTATGCACTACAAAGTCAATATTGCGAAGGTGTGAAGTGCGATGTCGTTTAGAATATCAATTCATTATTGAGAAGATATTTTGTTTGAACTACACAATGCTTTAGTTCACGACATTTAATCGTGAACTAAAATGTCGAGGATTTAAATGAAAAATACGTTTAAATTTAATAAGGACGAGAACACACAGTGCTACTATACGATATATAGTAATCAGTGTGCCGAAAAAAATTGCATTTAAAGCTGGCTTGAGATTATTTAATGTTTGATTAATCACATAAAATAAAAAATTCTATTTGACCCTCGTTAGAAAGTTTGAAAAATTTACTATGTGCAGTTTTGAATTAACTAAATAGATACCAATTTATAAATTAAGTTCCACTTTTGGTCCAATATTGCCTGCCATCATCGCGATGACTTAATATTCTCCCACTAAGAATAAATTTCCTGGGTCAGGCAATGTCCCGACACGACGGGTATTCCTCATTAAATAATGGCGTTAAACACACGCCATCTAAATGTGAAAACATCTGCCAAATTTACACGGGATTTGACTACTTTCAAATATTATATAAAGACTGCGAACATATAATGTTTGCAACAATGGTTTGCGTGCGTTGTTAATTACAGCTTGCTTTACGAATAATGTTTCGCGGTATTTCCTGTGCATGAAAATGGTCGAGTATAACTAATGTATATGTTTTCGTTTACTACATAGCTCGGAAACTCTCGTGTATAGGGTAACTGACTCAGAGGTCAATGTCATATGATTAATAAAATTCGTGTACAAACTTTCTAACAGAATTGTGTCTATCGTGAGAAGATTTAAATGATCAAGCTTACTCGTGTAGTATTCAACATGTAATAATCATAATCGTAAAAAAATAAAAAACATTGATTATAGGAAAACTTACAATCAAGTAATATCAAAAATTTTCGAAATCCTGTGGAAAAATTTTCATGCAATTTGTGTGTAGGGAATCTATAAGGGAAAAACTTTAAGCCTGAAATTAAAAATTTCTACGGTCTTGTGTCACCTGACTCTAAAATTAATTGAAATTACTTTTTCACAGATCTCTTTGCTATACAGTGACGGGAACCATTTGCTAGTTACTATAGTGACGGTAATTAACCATCTATACGTCTTGGCAATTATTACTGCTCATATCTATTCATTATTAATTACTTTCCCTGCTTGCATCGCTGCTGCTATAGTGAACTTTGAGTATTACATGTATTTTAAATTATATTCTGGCACATAAATTGACGCCAACGTTATTTCTTCTAAATTTGATCTTCGGTGTGGCCGTTAATAACCATATTTAGTTAGTGTAGCCGCTCCTCACAATATTTATTTAGTGTAATCACAACTCATTATTATTAACCACTATTTTATCAGTCCAGCTATACTCATCACGACCTATTTCCCTGCCTATATCAATAACCCAATTGGGAGTTTCCATGTATTTTCCAAATGATCAACAATTTCTCACTGGCGAGAAAGCTGTTGTTATTTGCTGAGACTTCGTAAATTGTTTGTTTGGTAAATTATTGAGTTCGGTGAAAAGAGCGATATACAACGACGAAAGAGTTAGGTAAAGAGAGTGACATACAACGACTAAAGAGTTAAGTAAAGAGAGTGACATACAACGACTAAAGAGTTATAGGTAAAGAGACTGCATACAACGACTAAAGAGTTAAGTATAAGAGAGTGACATACAACGACTAAAGAGTTATATGTAAAGAGACTGCATACAACGACTGAAGAGTTAGGTAAAGAGAGTGACATGCACAGACTAAAGAGTTAGGTAAAGAGAGTGACATACAACGACTGAGGATTTAGGTAAAGAGAGTGACCTGCAACGACTAAAGAGTTATAGGTAAAGAGAGTGACATACAACGACTGAGGATTTAGGTGATGTTTGGACGGAGTTAAGTAAAGAGATTGACATGCAACGTAAAGAGAGTAAAGAGAGTGACATGCAACGACTGATGAGTTAGATATAAAGTGAGTGATAAACAACGACTACAGAGGTAAAAAAATCGAGTGACATACAACGACTGAAGAGTTAGGTAAAGAGCTAGAGTGCAACATGCAGCGACTGAAGAGACATACATTGAATTTCTGCACGCATTGCGAGTATCGATTGATGGTGAGTCAGTCCAGTAATGATTTTAGATGAGAAAATTTGATACCGCACGAAGGGCAATGAAGGAGCAGTGAGACACATTTTATGATGCAAGGAAGCCTCTTATGTTATATGAATCCGATGAAACTTTCCGTTAAAAATGTAGGGCGCATGCACTCAGGTTGACATTTTCCATGGATGCGAAATAATTTCAACTAGAAAATTATTCGCAAAGATAGATGAAAAATTACTTATGCGGCAGCAGTGTTATGTGTATTTACAGAACGTTTAAACGTTGTCAATTTATTATGTCGGTTTCGTTACTGCGCAGCTTAACAAACTTTCTTAACAAGATCGCATGATTAAAAACAAGATCCTCATGCAGGAACACATCAATATAGTCTATCAATATCATCTAGTGTCAATCCTTCAAATATGTTCTAGATTTTTGAATCCATAAATTGAAAAAATAAAGCAATTTTTACTTAATTAATTAAAACAAACAGAAGTGAAGAAGCATAATTAAACAGTTTGAGGGTGCCGCCCTAGCACGATGGTCAGCCGACGCGCCAGCAGGACGCCCAAATGTGCGCGGTGCCGCAACCACGGCGTCGTGTCGGGGCTGAAGGGCCACAAGCGGCTGTGTCGGTGGCGGGAGTGTGGCTGTGGCGGGTGTCGGCTCGTGGCGGAGCGGCAGCGGCTCATGGCGGCTCAGGTGGCGCTGCGCAGGTGGGAACATTTTTTATTATTATATTATTAGGTTATTATATTATTTTATTATTATTATTATTATTATTATTATTATTATTATTATTATTATTATTATTATTATTATTATTATTATTATTATTATTATTATTATTATTATTATTATTATTATTAGGATTATTAATTAATTTTATCAACGGTTATGAAAGAATCTGTGTGCCTGTAAATATCTATATGTTTTAAATAGTCTCTAAAGAGGAAATTTTTATGTGATTTTTCTAATTAGTTTTTAATTAATGCTCTGCTGGGTGAAATGGATGTATTGTTTGAGATGTCAGCTGAAGATTTTGTTAACTCGTACTATTATTATTATTCTTACTAATATTATTTTGTATGAAGTGATTATCGCGACGTCCGGAACAAAACGTATCAAGGGCACGCTACAAACATAGGAAACTATATAGTAACATGTTGTAAATAACTTCGTCTTCGTTAGTGGTGTACAGACTGTGATGAGCTTACCACTAGTGGTTGCGCGATGCTTTACGCCAGCAAATTTTGAGTCATGAGTGCTTTTTCGTTTTTTTTTTTTTGGAAAAATGTTGACTGCCTTTCACAGGATAATGTGGCAGCGATTGTTTCCTTGTCCCAGCGACCAAAAGTTAAATTTAAACATATAATTACTTTGTTAATTTTCAGCGCAGCAAGTGATGAATAATGCAAATAATGGAACATTTTGGAGGCCACTATGCACAGTAGGCGGTAAATGTACTAGACCTCAAAATACAATTAGTACTTAGTTCTAGCATCCACTGATTGATCTGATCACCACATGACGTGTATTCACCGATTTTTTAACAACAGAAAATAGATACATAATTGCGTGCAAAAGTCGCTTTGTCAGTTCTTATGAATTATTAATGAAAAGAAATCGTAAACATTTAAATGAGTTTGCGAAAATTTGTTTTAGAAAATTAACCATCGCTGCAATGAACCAGTTACGCATGCGCTCATAGAAGCTCGATACTGAAGATTATTTTTCAGGTATTCAAATTCATTAATATCAATTACATTGGTTAAAATTATCGCGGTATGTGGCTAATTAAGACGACGTCTCTGGTACCCTTTTTAGTTTAAAACATCATGCACAAACGTTATACTATATTAGTTTTGCTTATGCTTTGGCTCCGCACTAACTTTTACGAAACCATTAACGCAAATTAACCTCAACATTAGCGTAAAGGTCATGCAGAGGTGATATATGAACGCGAATGTCATTGCCGTCCATCAGCGGCATTATAACGCAAATTACCGAATTACCAGAAATCAAATGATTTTTCTATCATAAAGAAATTCTTCAATTCATGTTCAAGACTTCGATCAGGGCTTCCTGTTGTATATATAGATATTTAAGCTTGCGAGAATTGATGAAGCCTCAAATCCGAAGATTCACGGACACTGCCCTTGAATTCTTTTAAAATTATGAATCTTTTCTTCCTTTAAACCATCACTATAATTTAGTCATATCGAAACAGAAGCTCGATCAGAGTTAACCGAGTTATCCAGATTTTAGTGCATGTGCTCTAAACAGTTTCTTTCATCAGTTCAAATCACCACAAATGTCTTTCAGAGTGCATATTATTTTCTACAAATTCAATTCCAAAAATAGAACTCGCTTATCGTGAAATAGGAAAAAGAATAATAAATAAAATTATTGTATTTAAATTGCAAATTTCCACGTTCATATGAATTGATTTATCGTCCGCTTGAACTGCGGCCACTATTCTGGTAAGAATAGCATTGAATTGAACTGGCAAGCTTTACTGTATCAATTTATCTTAGATAAGGAATGAATGCATCAAGTGCACCACTTGAAGCTTTATCTATCATTGAGATTATAGCAATTCGTGTACTTGTAGATCATCTGATAAGATAAGAGAAAAATCAGTCTTATCAATCTATTTAATCGGTGTAGCTTATCAATTTGGTGTGATTTGCGATTAATTTTTTCAACACAAATTTAAATAAAATATGCAAAATCTTAATCTACAGGAAGATATTCTTTAAAGTAACTTTGAGTAAAACTCAACTAAATTCAAAAATTTCTCAGGTGTTCTGTAAGTCAATGCAGTAATTATAATGTGATAAATTCGCATTCGTAGGAAGATCTGACGATCAAAATACTTGTGAATACAAGATAAATAAATAACGCCAAGTAACATTTTAATAACTTGTGATACTTAAAATAATTGTGCTCCTTATCCACGGCACAGTCGAGACTTGGTCGATATATTATAAAGAAAATCCAGTATGATGCCACAACGGCAAACCGTCGAATATTTATCTTGTAAAAAAAGCTGCCGTTGCTTTTGGTTTTTTTTTGTGATTAAAAAACGTAGACACATCCAGCAATGTTGAGTGATGGAGCCAAAGCATAAGATGATGTGCATGTGCATGACAGGCCAAATGAAAACAATCCTAGAAATAAGGAACCTCGAAGATAAGGACTCTTTCAAATTTATTGCTTTTGCAGTATAATTACGCATGAAAGAATATTGACATCAACACTGGCAAGTATAAAGTAATGTACTACGTATGTTTTTCTTCCTCTATCGGGACATACCTTTACAGCTATAGTATTTATATATTAAAAAACACCGCGTTCTAATCGGTGTTTTTTTTAATGTGCTGAAAGTCGGAGCTATATTTTTTTGTAAATATATAATTATGATATAAAATCTACAAAAAATTGCTTGGCAGAACTTAAGAGTACTTAATCAAGTAAGCAATTTTGATCTCCTGTTTATTGTGTATTCATTTTGAGTTTTCACATATAATGACTACGTCGATCCAATATTTGACTGGTTAAAATTGTGATGAAATTGAAATAAACTTTGCATTTTCTGCGTTTGAACACGAAACGCATAACGCCTTAATTTGGCTACAATACAGAATTTAGTTTAGAACAGCCAGCCGAAATATGTGCTGCTGTGGTCCTGGCTGTTATTTCAAGTACTAAATTATTACATTTTCTTCTGTATGCATATTGTGTGATTTGCATGTGTACGTATATGCGGCGGTTCAAATTGTTGTTAACCAACAGTATCTAACAGCCTGTGCTGAGCAGCAGCTGTAGCGCAGCAGTATCAGTTCACCGTGTCTCCCAAGAGAACACAACTCGCTATATTTTTTCCTTCACTTCGTAGGTAAACAAGCACATCAATTCAACGCCTGACGACACACCACCAATCTTGGTGTCAGCGCCCCCTCGCTGCCTTGTCAGCTTCATTGTCAGCCTCGGGGATCTTTATCAGCTTTATCAGCTTCTCATTCTTGCATAGGCTCTTATCGGCACCTCAAGTGGCGATTGTTTTCGCGTGAGTGTCTTTTATGAGGACCAAAGCCCGAGGTGTTAAAATGATGTTATGTGCGGGCGCTGTGAAGCGTTAAATAAATGGTTGTGGTTGTCTCAGTTGTGCTACTTGTCAGGGCGATTTTTTTCCTGAAAACAAATAAGCCGATCAGCTACCGGGTCCATGAAACAAGTTATTCTTGCTTAAAGATGACAAAATTTCTTAAAAATAATAGAATGGTAAACATATGAACAGGAATTACAAGAAATTTTATTAGTGATTTTACTTCTTCACCCATTCATTATACTACTCGCGCAACTCGCGCACCACTCAGGCAACACTCGTGCAAAATGTTTATTTATATCATCGGTATCGATAAGGTTATTGAAAGTTTATACGAAAAAAAATTAGCTGCCAAATTTTCAGCACGTAGTCTGGCTTTGAAACGCAAACAAATTCTCCCGACATGTGGTGCTGCAATGTTCAGCGAGTAACGATCAGCATGCGAATCGTTTCACTGCAACGCTGTAACATAGCGAGCATGCGTGACGTTATATAAGCTTCATTATAATAGGCATTCGTAACGTTATATAGGCTTCATTATAACGAGCATCGGTGACGTTATGAGCATCATTAAAACGCGCGTCTGCGACGTTATAATCCTCACTATAACGCGCTTCCGCCGCTGGCTGCGCCACATGGCAGCCAAAAGTAACGTCGGCATTGTGGCTATGGCGCCAGGTGAGGGCCATCGCTCCATGTTTGCCGAGCGTCGCAACTCTTATGAGTGAGTCGTCGCACCTCATTAGTGCCGAGCCGCTCACAATCTTATGAGGGAATATTTTACTACCGCCGTAAAAAACTCACAATCTTATGAGGGAATATTTTACTACAACCGTAAAAATAAAGAGGAAGCTCAGACTTGTTTATGAAGAATATTCGGGGATATATAATTTACGGCAAGCGAACACATGATCTGCTCCAACGTACGAGAGCTGCGAAGAAATTCGTAAATAAATTCCTGCGAGGATTTTAGTTGGGAGCGACGATTGAGAGATGATCATGTTTCTGATTTGTTTGGTTTGTTCAGAATAGGAAGTTTATTGGCTCAAAGCAAACTATTGGCTGTCATAACATAGTTAATTTGTTCGCAATACTAATCAGTAGATTTGAAGAGAGGTTCTGTCGCTCCCGGCCTCCTACTGTCAGACGGCATTAATAATGGGGATTTAAATCGGAATTTTCCATTCCATCAAAGAAAGAATCAGAATTAATTAAGTAACCGAGAAAAAAATTCATCAGAAATTTTATTAAGATAAGAGCAGACAGGAATCAGGGATAACTTTGCCCAAATATCGGTTCAGAATTTTCAAATTTACTTCAACAGAAGTAACTACAAGATAATCTACCAGCTGCATTACAATCAACATTACATCTTTAAGTATATGTATTGAACATTCCACCCGTTACTGGTCTCATTTTGTGTGCACATGTAACAGTGACAAAATATGAGTCCAAATAATTTTTCGAGGAATCTGTCCATTATGTTGAACTTTTTGTATAGAAATGAGATCTGCTGGATTAAACATTAAATTACAATAATCGCTTATTGTAGTTAATTCGTTAATTAAAACAATACTAACGAGGATTGGTTCTCAGAAATCGCTAAAGCATTGCTCACTTTGTACTCAGGAAAATTAATAGGTTATAGTCTATAAATTGCACTTTTTCACCAACAGCTCGAGCTGAGTGCGGACATAGAACTGATACCTTCTGCCGAGCCAAACTGTATAAAAATTACCCAGACACGGGCTAAAAATGCATCGCTAACTTTACAAAGTCACTTTCATTTCTCTGTGCGTGTGTTAATGGAGTAACATTAACGAACATTCGTTACATTCGTTGTCATAAATTAATAACGAATTATTCGCGCTGTCTGCTGCGCAGGTATCACGCGACAGAGGCGACCGGCAGGCGGTCCGACAGCGCAGTCGCGGAGCAGGCGAATCCTGCTGAACTGCAACAAACTGCCTGCGAGTCTGCGGATGGCGGAGTGACGGAACACAAACATTCGGGTTCGTGAGTGTTGATTTTTTTTTAATTTCTGGTGTGGTTGAAGAAATCTAATGCGTTAAGTTATGTTATCAAATTGTCAAAAACAATTTAAGGGATCTGCCAAGGACGAATCTGGCGTGAAGGGACATAGCGCCGCATGAAAACGTTAGCGATGAGAAGTTTACAGTCATGTGATATTATTCTTTAATTGGAAAAAGCTTTTGGATTCTTCAAGATTTTAAATCAGGTATACGGTGATGTTTACATTCTTTTCAGCGTGACAAATCAAGCGAGTCTGGTTTCATTGCAAGGAAAAATGCTATTCCAATCTCTAGTACCGAGATTTTTAGATAAATTTACTATTCACGGCAGTCTAATCACGTTAATCTCAAGGAAGTAAATGTTTTCTCATACACAAGAAGCCATAATTAACTCATTTAGGAGCCTTTTAGTTGGGGACAAAATATGAACGATAGCCGATCGTCGTATAGATTTCAGTATATCTAAAAAGCTACCGACTTTGCTCGAAAAAAACTCGCTAACGTTCTTAAGTGGGAATGTAATTATTATAAAAAATATTCCTAAATTTTCTTAATTCTTAAATTTTCGTTTTCATTCCTGACCAGATCTTGCAGACGCCGAAGGAGGCAGCTCCTCTGCTGTAGGCGCTCTCAGCTGCCCTGCCGCACGCGGAGGGCAGACCAGCGCCACCCACAGTCGCTTCAGAGGTGCTTAGCATCTAATGATTTATAGATAAATATTATTTATGAAATAAACGACAGTGAACAATCAGTATAATTACATTGCATTCTGTGAACCAGTGTAGGGAATGCACAAATAAAATATTTACTGTATACCATATTCTGTCCCATATGAGGTGGAAGACCGCGCCCTCACCGCAGCGTCGAGCAGCTGATGGCGCAAAAGAAGTCTTATCAACGGCACCTGAAGCAGCTGCAGGCGACACAGCTGGCGAGGCAGCTGATAGGTGAGGAAAAGCAACTGCACCTTGTTGCTCCCCTTAAGGGCATCGTCTAGAACTATTCAAGATGACAGTAATTCTTTTTAATATAAATTCTTTTTTTTTTTAGAGGTTAATTGATTATATTGATTAGTTAATAATTGTGTATTGCAATGAATAACTTAGGTTAGGAGCGGAGATATAAGGATGTATGTTGTAGGTGCTTTTTGTTAACTCGCCTCCGATCTCAAACTGAAGTAATTATTTTTTCCTTTACACCATCCATTCAAAATACAGTAGGACTTCATAAAAAAAAGTTTATGGAGTATATATCAAGATAATATTGCCTCATTATTGTCTGTACATTTTTCGTACAATTTTTTGCTCAGCAGAGCGGCGTGAGCTGAGCAGCGGCCGCGCCCCGCCGCAGCTAAGCGAGCGGCAGCGCAAGCGACGAGCCTTCGCCGACAAGGAGCTCGAGACGATCATGTACCAGCGAGAGACCGCGGCCACCAACGGTGCAGTGATGGCCGAGCCACGTCCTTCTGGTTCTCTTCTTCTTTCTATGGTTGCCGAACCACTTCCAACTGCTTCTCTTCTTTCTATGGTTGCCGAACCACTTCCATCTGCTTCTCTTCTTTCTATGGACACTGAACCACTTCCTTCTGGTTCTTTTGCATCTGTGGTCAACGAACCACTTCCCTCTGGTTCTCTTGCCTCCAGGAACCACACCAGCGAAATTCTTGCTAGGCACTGCCAATTAAATGCCCGTGACTCTATTAAGAAAGAATCTCTGTTCAAAGCTCCCAAAAGTGAGCAAAATGATGAAGGATTTTCTTCGGTTGGAAACGTCTTGGGTGCAGCTACTCGACCCGTCCCGAACTCTACTGATGCCTCGCTTGGGTTGTCTCAGTTGTACCTCATGGCGCTGATCGCAAGAGGCAGTCCTTTCCTTCACCCATTAACCCCCTCCAGCCTAAGTTTTCAACAGCCAGACAACACAAGTCACTCGTTAATGACGTGCACGAACCCTAGTCCACTCCTGAGACCCTCGTTTGACCTCTTGCCACAAGCTTCCCTCGCCGACAGTCTGCAGTCGCTCCGCATGCCGGCCGTGAACGAGCCCGTGACGCCTAACACGTTGTCTCTGCATCATGCCATGACGCCTCAGTCACCCCACAAAGATGGTGTGAATTTGCCGGTGCGACTACACCAACTGTCATTAAATCAGGCGAAAATACCGCTGGAAAGCGCGATAATCCGCGACGATATTGAAAATCACGATGGTTGCCATTTTTCGCCTTCAACGGAGTCCTCACGTCTAGACAACAGCTACAACCGCTCGTCATCGACGATGGCGAATGCCCCAAATTTGTTTGCTCTGCCCTCGATGATGGGGTTCACTCCTGTGACTCGTGAAGAAGGCACTGCATTTAAATTACCTTCCCACGGTTTGGATGTGAGTCGACATGCAATTGATAAAGACCGTCTCTATTTTTCTCCATTCATGTCGGCTCAAAACAGATGCGATTCGCAGCCCGAGCTCCTCGAATCTAACAAAAGCTTCCAAAGCTCAATCTTCTTAAACTTTCCGAGTTTGCCCACCTCGTTTGAATTCCCGCATCAAACTTTACAGAACTTTCACCGCAAAGAAACGTCTTCAGCACAAAAATCAGGCGAACCGTTTAACCGAAAATCTACGGAGCAATTTTGTAAGTTTTCAAGTGACTCGAAAACAAACCCGCTTACCAGCCACACGGCAGATCAACAGGAGCGGGAAACTAACCCTGCCAAAATTTCCAGTCGAATTTTTGAATATCCTGGCGGAGAGTCATGTTTCCTGCCCGATTTTGACCCCAAAATTGGAGTAGGTCCCCTGACCCCTCCTCCAGACCAACCCAGCCAGCCCACCAAGAAGAATCGTATTTCTTTTTCTGTTGAATCCATCATCGGACGGTGAAGAAGGGATGCTGTCACCACAAATTTGCAATAAATTTAGCACAAATCCATCATCGGACGGTGAAATAAGGGATGAAGTCAACACAAATAGATCATCGGACGGTGAAATAAGGATGAAGTCAACACAAATCCATCATCGGACTGTGAACGGAGGGATGAAGTCACCACAAATTTCCGGGAACGATTGTTATTTATATCAACGCGTGATAGTAATAAGGCCTATATAATTATATTATTCCTAACATATTTTGTTAGGAGCAATTAAGTTTCTAATAAATCAGGTCGTGTCAGTAAAAAACATGCTTAGCATTGAAAAAATCCGTTCTCAATAACATATGTTCAACATAACAATAACTCTCCGTCTTTAAAGCAATTCTTGTTTCTATAATTTAATTATTGGATCAAATAAATTTCTGGTGTTCTTCTAATATAATGGTTTATGCTTTTAAATGTCAACAATCGTTGTTAATGACATGTGTTGCAATAAAAAACATTACGTTTTGTAGCAATATTTATGAAAATACCCGTTATTAATAGAACCACATTTCATTCAAAACATCACGAACTCTCAGTGAGGAATCTTTTTAATCATTAAAAGTGATCGAAACCGAAACTCTTATTTGAACATCAACCTGCATACGTTCCGAATGAGGATGCCAGTTATTAAATTCAACGATTACGATTGTTAAGTTGAAGAAGCAATGGTATTGATAGCAGGACATATTAATTCTCACTAATGCATTAGATTTATTTAATTTTATAAGGATCAACAAATGAATAATTGTTTTCAAGCGTGTTTTCCTTTTTACTTTAAATAATCAGACTGAAATTTATTACAATTCTCAATTCTTTTGATGTAAGACTTAATATTACATATATTTGTTCTCGTGCGAATGATTACTGATTTGAGTGTTCCATGATCAGCTTATGTAAATAATGCACATGGCTGAGAATGAGTATAGTATGCCGTATATATTGTACTTAATATAGTCTTGCAAACTTTTGCATGGTGTTTATATAGTCACCATGACGATCCTTCACTATTAATTTGACGACAATCATATTACCAGCCCTTGATCTTCATCACTAGAATTTTATTGCACTTATTTATCCACAATTCCAGTTTATTGTTTGAATGTAATTACATTAAGTGATTGAGATATTCTTTATATAGGGTTAATCCAGTCACAACAAAGGATTACTGCAGTCATAAAACTTATTTTAATATTGCATTTCTGAGTTTACATAGAATAGCAAAGAAAATGCCTAGAAATTTTGCAATATCTTCAATAGACAAGTATAAGTAAATAGAATTAAAAATGTTTGCCACAAAAGAGATACAAAACATGATTCAGATAAGTAACGATTTGTTTCGTCTTAAATTCTTGATGAACAAGAGATTTATAAAGTGTTTCCGAGAGTTTATCCTTTATATTATATTGAAGTTTTCTCTGCGCGCTTAATTTTTTCAGTAAACTAAACCCGAACAATCATGTCGTGCTACTAACTTGTTAACACTTAATTTAGAACTCAACAAAGCAATCAATCATATCGTTCTACTAAAATCTTTTACTCCTAAGCTTTTAAACGATTAATTCTTTAAGAAATATCTTCTCCTCCTCCTTTTCCTTTTCACCAAAATATGTTATAAATAAAACCAATTGGCTCAATGATCGGCAATAAAGCTCGAGCTCAGAGATCCGTTTACTTTCTACGCCCCCACACCCTAGTGAGTCATAGGCATAGCGGTCCGAGGTAGGCATTGCATTCACTCAATGGGGCATTGTCCAAATAGTGACCGACATTTTTACCTGTATCATAAGCAGAATTTAACACTCACATGTGATTTAATCGGGCCACAAACTTGGTCAGGATTGCCCATAAAAGGGCACTTGATGAGCATTGCTGTTTGGACAAATGACGCATAGAAGTGCAAAATGTCCATTGCTGTTTGAACAAAGTCTTGGTAATTTCATTAAGAGTAATATTACTGATACGTTATTCGGTCGGGCAGCCAAATTGGGTAAGGATGAACCACAAAAGGGCACAAAGTACATCGCTGTTTGGACAATGCCCGTCACAATTCTCTCAGTGACAGAGTCCCGGCCGCTGACCCCCAGCCACGCTAGAGGAGAGCGGCAGTTGGTGGCAGGGAAGCAGTGCAGGCGCAGTGCAGTGCAGTGCAGTGCAATGCAGTGTGGTGCAGTGCAGTGCAGTACAGTGCAGTGCAGTACAATGCAGTGTGGTGCAATGCATTGCAATGCATTGCAGTGCTCTCTGTGTGGCACCTACCACCAGGCACGTGTGAGGAGCAAAACAAGTCAGCTTGAACGTATATTGAACACGAGTGCTTCAGACGAGAAAACATGTTCTTCTATTTAAGTAGTGTCGTGATATATTTTAGTGAACGATTTATAAAGAAGTTCTGCGAATATGAATTACACGGAAACTTGAAGAATTTTCATGCCACGAGTAAAATTGTACATAAATTTTCTTGAAAAGAATAACAGGTTGGAGTGAATATAAGTAGCATCTATAGTGCGCCTAACTCGTGCGCAGTTCGCTGAAGGAATTCGCTTGCGGACAAAGGACTCGCATGTCCTGCGGTGAGAACATCTTGTGTTGAAGTCATCACTGGTTGGGATTTTCGTTTGAAAAATAATTAACACAGGAGTCACAGTAACACAGGAGTCACATTAACACATTAATACAGGAATCGCATTAACACAATAATAAAGGAGTCACATTAACACAGGAGTGACACTAACACAGGAGTCACATTAACACAGGAATTTTCGTTTGAAAAATAATTGTGTGGGACACGGCTTTTGCTTTCGAGAAATCAATTGAATGTTATTTGTGGTGAGTCGTCGGCTATTCGGTGGCCGCAGATACGCCTGCCAAGAATTCTAATAAGATTCTTTATTAACACACTAACAGAACAGTCCTGATCAACACGTACATCAACACAGGAGTCAATTAAAAGGAGACACATTAAGACAATAATACAAAAGTAACATTAACACATTAATACAAGAGTCACATTAACACTTTAATACAGGAGTCACATTATACATTAAAACNTAGGGATACAACAGGATCAAGCACAATGTGTTACGTAGGGATACAACAGGATCAAGCACAATGTGTTACGTAGGGATACAACAGGATCAAGCCCAATGTGTTACGTAGGGATACAACAGGATCAAGCCCAATGTGTTACGTAGGGATACAACAGGACCAAGCACAATGTGTTACGTAGGCACACAACAGGACCAAGCACAATGTGTTAGGTAGGGATACAACTGGACCAAGCATAATGTGTTACGTAGAGATACAGCAGGACCAAGTACAATGTGTTACGTAGGCACACAACAGGACCACGCACAATGTGCAAGGGTGATCAAATGTTATGATGTAATCCCTGCTTTCCTCAAGCTATAAGGCGATCAATTCCTCGTCATGCTAAGATGAGATCACATCTCCGCCACGATGAGCGGTGTAAGTGAAAGTGCTTCTCATGACCCGACGCATGAATGCTTTGTTCGCTGCTTGCTCCAGCCACGATAATCACTGCAGTGACTTCGGCAGACTCATAGGGAGACAACTTCGTCCGAGGGACAACAAAAATTAGGGGACAACAAATAAAGTACTAATTATTCCACATAAAATTGTATTAATTTCAGCCTCTTTGTAGAAAGTTTTGAAAAATCTAATCAAATCTCATTAAAATATAACAGGATTTCTTAGAATTTAAAAATGCATTAAACCCGTGAGTAATTTACGCCACGATGCAATTTATAATTTATGTGAGTATTGTGAGCATAGGCGACTGAAGACTTTTAGTGTTATTATTTAAGCACGTAAATGTCAGCATTTTTCAACGTGGATAGATACAGGTTGTGGCCTAAACCGAGGTGAGGCATGCGTCACCTCAGCTGCTGAGGTGCCTGGGCCGAGGTGCGGCCTGTGTCACCTCAGGTATTGAGGTGCTAGAGCCGAGGTGCGGCATGTGTCACCTCAGCTATTGAGGTGCCAGGGCCGAGGTGCGGCATGTGTCACCTCAGGTATTGAGGTGCCAGGGCCGAGGTCCGGCATGTGTCACCTCAGGTATTGAGGTGCCAGGGCCGAGGTCCGGCATGTGTCACCTCAGGTATTGAGGTGCCAGGGCCGAGGTCCGGCATGTGCCACCTCAGGTATTGAGGTGCCAGGGGCGAGGTATGGCAAGTGTCACCTAAGTTATTGAGGTGCCAGGGCCGAGGTGCGGCATGTGTCACCTCAGGTGTCCTAATGAGCCTCACTAGCGTCTCCTAACGAGCTCGTCTAGCGTCCCACGCACGGGACGGCGCCCGCGTCACGGGTCGCCGCCGCTGGAATGTTCCTGAGAGGCGAACGGACCCGGACCCACCGGGTATACGGGTCCGACTAATGAAGTTCGGGTCCAATGATCCAATCAGGGTCTAACTATAAACTAATGAAGTACTTTATCTAACTAATGAATGTAACTTAACTAATTAATTAATACATTTCTTCATGTCTAATGACTCAGGACATGCCAACGTCTTGAATGTAAATTCTATATACGATTTATATAGGTTATGACGATCTATGTGAATCAGACAAATTTTATTATTTTTGTTTCTTTAAACATATAGTGATCAGTGCAGCACTGAAATGAAACGAGACCCTCAGACATCAACTTTACCCTCGCTTTACCCTCACTGGAGTCCTAGTGGGAAATTCCCTGGGAGTTTGTGGGAAAATCAATATTGGCCTCTCGAATTCAGAAGCCTGGGGAACAACGAGTGCGTGGAAAACTATGTTGTGGTAATGCCGGGCACGCATTGTGGTGCATCTTATATACGCATGTACGCTTCGTGGAAAATATTTTATCAATTTTATTATTTTCAAGATTTTGTCAATATTTTTTGATAGGCAAATCTATTTTTTTGTATACGGTGAATCTGAACGATGCATTAAAACTCAATGTAATGTTAGTTTATCACAGCTGGCAAATATATTATTCTATTAGTTATGATTAATTTATGAGCCTTCCAATAACAAATGATGAATGATGTTGGCTTACTAATGTTGTTGACGTAGTTTTCGAATAGCTATTTATAGGTGCTATGAGATACTGCAGTAGCGCCATAGGCGGCGATTGGGCGCGCCATGTAAGATGATAAAGAGAAAATGAACTTAAGTTCCACTTAATGTTTATGCACTATAACTGTTACTGACCGATGGAGGTGGATAGAATTGGTCAATATGAGAGGTCATTATACGGGGGTGTGAGGACAATATGAGAAGGTGAGGGATCAAGGTAATTGGTGGAGTTGTCAAAATAAGTGGTCAAGTACTGTATTTTCCTTTTTTACAGGATGAAATAGTTGATTTAAATAAACACAGCTCTCATACAGCATCATTAAAGACCACATATAATAAATAAGAACTAGAGGTAATTCTGTGGAGATAACCACCGATAACAGATAATTAAAGCGGTGATAATTTGCCTGCTGCTAAACAGGATCTCCAGCTTCAGAGGTGAGCACGTCTCGGCAGCTTTCATTTCTCCGTCATATTTCCATATTATTTTTTATTTTTTAGATCCTTGCATATATTGTCAGAGAATTTTTGTTCATGAGGACTGAAAAAGACAACTAATGCCAGCGATTTTTTAACAATTCTAAACAACTGGTTCAGACAATACTCAACTTTTAGTTATTTACTAGTTACAGTTAGTTAGTAACTAGTTACAGTTAGTTAGTAACTAGTTACAATTTGTTTGTACCTAGTTACAGATAGTTTGTGACTAGTTACAGTTAGTTTGTGACTAGTTACAGTTAGTTTGTAACTAATTACAGTTAGTTATGTACTAGTTACAGTTAGTTATGTACTAGTTACAGTTAGTTAGTAACTAGTTACAGTTAGTTAGTAGCTAGTTACAGTTTGTTTGTACCTAGTTACAGTAAGTTTTTGACTAGTTACAGCTAGTTTGTGACTAGTTATAGTTAGTTTGCAACTAGTTACAGTTAAGTATGTACTAGTTCCAGTTAGTTATGTACTAGTTACAGTTAGTTAGTAACTAGTTACAGTTTGTTTGTACCTATTTACAGTTAGTTATGTACTAGTTCCAGTTAGTTATGTACTAGTTACAGTTAGTTAGTAACTAGTTACAGTTAGTTAGTAACTAGTTACAGTTAGTTATGTACTAGTTAAAGTTAGTTAGTAACTAGTTACAGTTAGTTAGTAAGTAGTTATAGTTTGTTTGTACCTAGTTACAGTTAGTTTGTGACTAGTTACAGTTTGTTTGTACCTAGTTACAGTTATTTTGTAACTAGTTACAGTTAGTTTGTGACTAGTTAAAGTTCGTCTGTGACTAGTTACAATTAGTTTGTACCTAGTTACAATTACTTTGTGACTAGTTACAGTTAGTTTGCGACAGTTACCGGTAGTTAGTAGTTACCGCTAGTTCGTAACTAGTTACAGTTACTTTGTAAAGGATAGAAATAGTTGGGTATTTTAATGTTATGTTGTTAATTCTGAGGATAGCAGTGATTCAGAGTTTGACTATGCATGTCCTATAGATGCGGTAATGTTAAGCGAGAGTAACCCCGATGAAAGTAATAACGAGTGTACATCTGTGTCAAATTGTACTGCCGTAGAACTTGAATTGTGTAGTGATTCATTGTTTGATGCTGATTTGGTCATTGAATTCAAGGAGTTGCGTGATAAATATTTGTATCATGTTGCGAGTCATGTCAGTGTTGATCAGGTTGCGGAGGCAATTAATGAGGCTGAACGTAGTGTCTTGAATTGGAGTTTCAGCAGCGAAGAGATTGATTTTGTTCTACCGGAAGAGAGTGCACCCAGATATTCAACGCGAGAACTGGATGACGACGATGCATCTATGCCGGATACGGTAGACAATGTTTCTCCAATCATTGCAGAGGACTCCAACAGTGGAAGTAGCAACGGTTCATTGAGTAGCTTTCTGCTGTGGTTAGAACAGTCGTTGCTTGTACATGGAGAACTTGTTGAAAGAATTACTAATGTGTCGCAAACGTTGAATGATGCGTGGTTAGAAGAGGTCACTGATATTTTATCATTAGGAGACTTACATGCGCGAGATGACCGAACGGATATATTAACCAGAATGAGCAGACATGTAATCATGTACGTGAATCTATAGCAGATTATAGACAAAATGAAGGTCTTTTATGGAGAACTCGTTTTGAACCTAATGATAATGATGAGGTTATTGATGAAGCGTCGGATAGGATTGAGGAGCTGCCCGTGGATAGCTCGAAATTGTGTCGAAGAGTAACGCGTTCGCAAGGACCTGTACAGGAATATCCGAATGTACAAAAATCTACCTTAGAATATAGAATTAAGTAAATCTTAATGTTTTGTCCATTTTAGCGTGTTGTTTTTTGAATAAAGTCTTAAGTGAATTTTAATGTGGTAGTTGAATAGATAGTTTCTAACGAGGTTTTGAATTGTGTTGATTCCTGTGATAAGTATTGAACGGATGCGATTTAGGATGGTATCGGTGTAAAAAAATTGTAAATATCTTTGTATAAAGTAGCGTTATTTTTAAGTGCAATGTGCCCATTACACTTGTTGGGGGGCAATATGTAAAGGATAGAAATAGTTTGTTATTTTAATGTTATGCGAGGCGATAATTTTTGTTCCAAAATGGTTTATTATTTTGAATTTGTCATTTTAGTTTAGAGTTTACGGAAGGCTATATATAAGTGCGGAAGGAGAAGGTGATAAGATTATTCTGTTGTGGAAAGCCGGAGCGGAGGTATGTGCTGCGTTAGGATGTGGACATGTAAATATATACGTGAATAGATTGATGTGAACAAATTGTGTAAATACTTAGGTTATATATGTATGAATACTTTAATGTTTGGGTTACTATTATTTATCTGCTTTGTTTGTTTCTTTTGTAGGAAAGCCTCGAATCTCGAATCTCGAACCTCAAATCTCAAATCTCAGAGTCAAGAGTTAGTCTCGAAAGCCATGCATCCAAGATGAAGTGTTAAAGTGTTAATGTGCCGAAGTTATTATATATTATTTATTGTGTTCATTGAAAGTGGAATAAACTGTTTTAATAAGTACTCGTTAATATCCAGAACCTATACGATCCTGTAGGCTAGTTGGGTGTTCAGAGAGCCCCAACAACTTACTAACTAGTCTCAGTTAGTTAGTAACTAGTTACAGTGTTCTCATTAAGAGACTTGTGCAGCCCCCCTCCCCCACTCCCCGCCCTCGAGATGCAGCGTCTGAGGCTCCCCCTGGCGTCGGTGTTGCTGCAGCTGCTATGCCTCGCTGCGGCTCAGGTGACCTCCTGACCCTTGACCTCCCTCACCCCCTATGGGTTGCATTGTTACCAGAGGTGGGCAGTAGCGCGCTACATGTAGCGGCCGCTACTGGCGGCCGCTACATTTTCAGTAGCAGTAGCGGCGCTACATTTAAGGCAATGATGCAATAGCGGTAGGCCCTCTACATTTAGAGCATGTAGCGGTAGCGGTAGCGGCCGCTACATTTCAAAGGAGCGCTGCCCAGCTCTGATTGTTATCATGTTATTATACTTACTTACTATACATAACTAACAAAGTCTTATTTAAATAAAAATTCATGAAATTCTAGTTATAATATCAAATTTTGTGTCACAGGAAGATCAATTTTTATGTGCGTTTTGGCGTGTGAGTTGATTTCGTGGAGTCGTGATCGTTCAATTGTTATCAGAACGCGCACCTGGTTTTATCCATTATAAAAAAAACACCATTTTGTTATACACCGACCAAAATGAGAACATAAATTCCATAATAATATATTCATACGAGCAGTGTTCAGTATAACATAAATGTTAATCAGTTTATTATGAGCATTCCTAAGTCAACCTAACCTGGGCGCTGGGCAGGAGGGCGCCGTGGCAGCGAGGTGTGGGCGCCGGTGCGTCAACAGATATGGCATGGAGATCTGCTGCGACGACACGCCGCTCAACTGTGAGTCCTATTCAAATAAAAACGCTCATAATAGTACTGGATTTATCTCATATATCTCAACAGTGGGTCATGTTGAAATAAAAACGCTCGTAATACTGAATTCATCTCAACAGTGAGTCATGTTCAAATATTAATGCTCGCAATAATAAATTTATTTTAACAGCGAGTCATGTTCTTATAAAAACGCTCGTAGTACTGAATTCATCTCAACAGTGAGTCCTGTTGAAATAAAAACGCTTGCAATACTCAATTTATGTGCACCATATTTTCAATGATATAATTCGATTGAATTTTAATATTTTTAAAAGTGCCAATAAAATGGCATCCAGGCAACAATTCGCAGTTTTATTGGTCAAAGGCCATTCACCTGCTTATGTCTCTTGGCTATGACATTCCTGAGGAACATTTGAACAGGTGAACGAGTACAAGTTCAAGATTTTGTGCTCTCTGAGTGCCTACTATTATTATAATTGAAATGTACGTCATTTGACGATTTTTACTATTTATAAACGATAGATAGAAGTATTCACAAGATATGAGAAATCAAACCTGAAGCAAATTGAACTATGAATAATATACGTTTAAAAGTTACTTTTTAAAGACAACACTTCCAAAGAATCCAGTGTCTCCAATCTTAAAGATGTACCATGAATTTCTCATTTAATTTTCGAATATTAAAAAAATTAATTTTTCAATTTTTTAATATATAAATTTTTTTTAATATTTAAATTTTTTTCAAAATTATTTATTCTATTAATTGATTCATGCATTGCTTCTGACTTCACACAAGTGTGCAAAATTTCAGATCAATTAGACAGGTAAAAGTGTGTCAAATATCAGTTTTAAGATTTGTAGCTGACAAAATTATTTTTTCAATTTTTTAATATTGAAAAAAAAATTTAATTTTTAAAATCATTTATTTTGACATTTGATTCATGCATTGTCTCTAACTATAAACAAGTATGCATAATTTCAGATCAATAGGATAAGTAGAAGTGTGTTAAATTTTTATTACAAGATTTGTAGCAGACAGACAGACAGACAGACAGACAGACAAACAAACAAACAAGAAGTGAAGTTAAAGAGAAGTGTTGTAAAATAGAGTCGATTCTGATTTTGAGATGCATAGTAAAACGTTGAACTCATCCTTAATGAAATTTTTCAACATCAAAGAAAATTTCATAGAATTTTTTGCACCATCAGAATGGTAATAATATGCGTCTAAAAATTAATTTGTACAGACATTACTTCTAAAAAATACAGTGTCTCCGATGTTACACATCTACAATGGATTCATAATTTTATTTCCATATATTAAAAAAATTAATTTTTAATTTCTTCTTTAATATATGAAAAAATTAAATCTTCAAATTATTTATTGTGTCAATTGATTCATGCATTGTCTCCGACTTCACCTAAGTGTGCAAAATTTCAAATCGATTTGGCAGGTAGAAGTGTGTTAAATATCGATTATAAGATTTGTAGAAGACAAAATTATTTTTCAATTTAAAAAAATTATTTTCAAAATTATATATTCTGTCAATTGATTCATACATTGTCTCCGACTTTATGCAAGTGTGCAAAATTTCAGATCGATTGGAGACGTTGAAGTGTGTTGAATATCGATTATAAGATTTGTAGCAGACAAACCAACAAACAAAAAGTGAAGTTGAAGAAAAGTGTTGTAATAATAATATACGTTTAAAAATTACTTTTTAAATACAGCACTTATAAAGAATCCAGTGTCTCCAATGTTAAATATGTACAATGAATTTCTCATCTTATTTTCGAATATTAAAAAAAATTAATTTTTCAATTTTTAAAAAATTTTTTTTAATTATATATTCCGTCAATTGATTCATGCATTGCCTCCGACTTAACACAAGTGTGAAAATTTTCAGATCAATTGGACAGGTAAAAGTGTGTCAAATATCAGTTATAAGATTTGTAGCTGACGAAATTATTTTTTTTAATTTTTTAATATTGAAACAAAAAATTTTTTAATCATTTTATTTTGTCATTTGATTCTTGCATTGTCTCCAACTTTACGCAAGTGTGCAAAATTTCAGATCGATAGGAAAAGTAGAAGTGTGTTAAATTTCGATTATAAGATTTGCAGCAGACAGACAGACAGACAAACAAGAAGTGAAGTTGAAGAGAAGTCTTGTAAAAAGAGGCGGTTTGCTAGCGATAAAGTTCCGGTGTCAGCAAGAATTCAGGGGCTAAACTAATTATCTGTACCATAATTAAGGTTATTATAAATTTAGAACCGGACAGAGCAGAAACATCTTTCATTGAATTAAATTTATTTTTCTATTCAATTTATGAATAGAAAAAATATAACAAGACTTAACGCAACCAAACCTGTAGCGGAGCTGAGGTGTCCACCCATGCCGCGCATCCTGCCGGACTGCAACGACCCCATCCTCGTGGTTAAGGACATCGGCCCAAAGGTGGGTCATCCTGACGGTGAGTGAGGTGGTCCTGGTGACGGTGGGTGAGGTGGTCCTGGTGACGGTGGGTGAGGTGGTCCTGGTGACGGTGGGTGAGGTGGTCCTGGTGACGGTGGGTGTGGTTGGTCCTGGAGACGGTGGGTGTGGTTGGTCCTGGAGACGGTGGGTGTGGTGGTCCTGGTGACGGTGGGTGTGGTGGTCCTGGTGACGGTGGGTGTGGTGGTCCTGGTGACGGTGGGTGTGGTGGTCCTGGTGACGGTGGGTGTGGTGGGTAGTGCTGGTTTTTAAATGGGGAGCCAGAAACTGTGACGCAAAAATGGACTACAAAAAAAAAAAGATGATGCATCCTTCTTACTGATATAAACAATGATGATCGTACTTTATGAATGTCAACATTATAATCATGGACAACAAAGATGATTGCTCTCCATGATCCTAAATTATTTACGAGTGAACAAGTGATGAAACTGCATGCAAGGAGCTCGTGTTCATGTATTAAGGCGTGTCCCAAGGCTCCTATTAGACGAGCCCAGATCACAATATCTTCCCAGCTTGTTGCATCAGTACCTATACATTGAAAATGAATTGCTCAACAAATAATAATATAATATAATAATTTACCATGCATCGTCCGTCCTGTACAGAAATGCCTGAGCGACAGGGATTGTAGTTCAGACCAGCGCTGTTGTCCCGACACCTGTGATCCCGACGCTACGATCTGCATGCCGGGCCAGCGCAACTTGCACTTCCTCTTCCCGTAGCGCTTGTTAAATCGTCTGAATGTACATCATATATTTACGCAAATTGTGCTCTTTTAGCCTCATTAGCCTTAACGCTTGTTAAATCGTGTGAATGTGCATCATATAATTACGTAAATTGTACTCTTTTAGCCTCATTAGCCTTAACGCTTGTTAAATCGTCTGAATGTACATCATATAATTACGTAAATTGTGCTCTTTTAGCCTCATTACTACGCACATTTGCTCGATAGTTTCATGTGTGATGTACTTTAGCAACAAAGCACGCAATTTCACGTGAAATTTCTAGCCCGAAATTTGATTCAGCGCAATTTTCTGTTATACGGTAAATTTTTTTCAGTTTTAAGGTATCAATTTACCTTTGTATTTCGTATGGGTTCTATATTCTACTGCCATTGAGTGAAACAATATTTCTACACGTTTATCCATCGAAATTGAGCTGCTTAATGCAAAAATGACGCAACCAAGTCGGTGCGTCATTGTGCTTCTGACCTAACCAAATTCGGAGACCGTCTAGGCTTTGACCGAATAGTAGCTACACTCGGCGCAAAATTATTCTGGGTCTGATTGGCCACCCGATCGAAATAAGTTTCTGGTCAGATCGAAATCAGTTTTCTTTATGATTTTATATTCGCCAGAGTGTATGACAAGGTTTTGCCGAGTCGAGTCATACCGAGCTAGTAAGCTGCCCAGATGCTGCCTTTGGAACCCTAAGCGGAAGCGGACATAGAGAAGCTGATTTACGTGCTCCCCGAATCCTAGGCGGCCCTAATGCAGGGTCGCGCACGCCTCTAAATTTTGTTAGGTTATTAAGAGAACGTTATAATTATTATTTTTATAATTATTGCAGTAACGTAAATTATTGCTCCTACAATTATGAATAAACTTGTCCTCATAAGAAAGAGGCGATGCTTTCAATAACCTTCGTAATCTTGCAGTAGAAGTGAAGATGTCAAGGAATTGTTGGGGTCTAAAAACATATCAGTCTCCCCATGTGTCAGCTGAGTACGTATATACTGCCGTGTTTTTGGTCTACAGATCAAGCTTTAATTTCATGGAATTTCATTAAAATTGTTTAATCATGACTTAATCAAATTACTTAATCTGGTGGAAGTTTGCGGTAACGATAATTCTATGCATTCCATTTAACAAATTAATTTTACTGTGTGTGGTGGATTGCGTCATTATATGGATCATCCTGTGTATTGTGCCAACAATGGTGCTCAATAGAAGTTTTTTCTGAAATTTAGTTTTAATCATCAAATTTATCGACATGCGATAGAATTGTTACCGAAATTCCACCCTCACAGATAGCACCAGAGATGGTCCCCGTAATTTGATGATCAATATAAAAATTAATAATAATTTTTTTTATTTTTTCGAATGCCTCAATCTCAAACTGACCATTGACGCTTATCAATTATTGCCAGGCAACCCTGATATATTCCTCCCGTGATATATTTCTCCCGTGATTCGTAAGTTGCGTGGCCACCGTAAGTTGCGTGGCCACCGTAAGTTGCGTGGCCACCGTAAGTTGCGTGGCCACCGTAAGTTGCGTGGGCCACCGTTAGTGCGGTGTTAGTCAGACATGACGAGAAATATTGCCGGGTCTGTTCCGGGTACAAATAAATCTTGGGATCGAAATTGCGTAAAATTTACGTCGCAAATTCCCGGCCAAAGTTTATTCAGAATTAAACGTATTTATCAAAGCCGTAAGAGAAAAAGAAGGAAGGAAGAGAAATAGAAGCTTACGATGAAACATATTTTTGTACAACAAACCAGTGTGTATTGCCGTGAAGCTGGCCGGTATAGGTTGAAATATTAGTATGGACACCTGAAAGCCCAAATTTGTGGTGGTTGCATCTTCTGCCTCTGCGGCGACAGTAGACGATCTATGTAAGTTGTCAGTTGCTAGAGTCATCACGTGTAAGCTGACATATGAACGTTTAGTCAGCACGCATCAGCTGTTTTGTGAACGTTTTGCCGGCACATGTCAGCTGACAAACGACATTTCTGCCAGCATGCGTCAGTTGTCATAAAAATTTTCTGCTAGCACACATCAGCTGACATCATAAAGTTCTACCTACACGTGCCTGCTGACACATGAACGCGTTCTATCCAGCACGTGTCGCTGTGTTGTGTTCAGCACATGTTGTGTCCAGCACGTGTCGTTGTCCAGCACATGTCGTTGTGTCCAGCACGTGTCGTTGTCCAGCACATGTCAGTAGGCTTGTCAAGAACTGCATACTCCGTTCAGATCAAGACGACTTCGCTCGTTAGTTTCCGGCCGTCATTACTGCAGGATTTGTTCCTGTATTTGACAGCTCGGTTAATAACCTCGCTGAGGTGCTGGCTGAGTGATGCGTTATCATTGAGCTGCAGGCCGCACGATGTTGTATCATCATTGAGCTGCAGGCCGTACGATGTTGTATCATCATTGAGCTGCAGGCCGTACGATGTTGTATCATCATTGAGCTGCAGGCCGTACGATCATACGATGTTGTATCATCATGGAGCTGCAGGCCGCATATTATCAATGCCTACCCCCAAGTGCGCAGGTCAAGTGGAGGCTCCTCAGGTCGCACATCCGCTGACAAATTGGAAGCGGAAGTCGCTGTGGAAGACACGGCGGGGTCATTGGGTACGTGGGGTGTCGGGGTCACCGGGTACGCAGAATAGCTATGCTGTCGTCTCTAGCAGATGTATTCTATTAGATGCCCAGCGTGCCACCAGCTTGGCGATGATGCGTTCTGTCGTATGATAATTAGATTCACAATTGGGCTTAGCATCCCGAAAAGTTTGCATTTAAAACACATCATGGGAATGAAACGAAAACAAACTGAAGTACAATTATAATGATACTTCGGCAAGGTTAGAGTTGCTTAAGTTGTCAATATCTGAAACGTGAAACATCGTTCTGCAACAACGTTCGAGTGGCGTAAATTTCAGTTTAAACGAAATCTGGACTTTGATTTTTATTAGGTCTCAACTTCAGACAGATTAGGATTTCGAATTACATGAACGCAGTGTTTTACGCATTAAGCGATCCAGGAACACCAGCGAAAAACGAATTTCCGTGAAGTTTGAAATATAAATATTTAACGTGTATTTGCGCTCCTAGTGTGGAGCGTTAAAGTTGTCACTCAGTGACGCATGTGGAGCGTTGAAGTCGTCACTCAGTGACGCATGTGGAGCGTTGAAGTTGTCACTCAGTGACGCATTTGGAGCGTTGAAGTTGTCACTCAGTGACGCATTTGGAGCGTTGAAGTTGTCACTCAGTGACGCATTTGGAGCGTTGAAGTTGTCACTCAGTGACGCATTTGGAGCGTTGAAGTTGTCACTCAGTGACGCATTTGGAGCGTTGAAGTTGTCACTCAGTGACGCATTTGGAGCGTTGAAGTTGTCACTCAGTGACGCATTTGGAGCGTTGAAGTTGTCACTCAGTGACGCATTTGGAGCGTTGAAGTTGTCACTCAGTGACGCATTTGGAGCGTTGAAGTTGTCACTCAGTGACGCATTTGGAGCGTTGAAGTTGTCACTCAGTGACGCATTTGGAGCGTTGAAGTTGTCACTCAGTGACGCATTTGGAGCGTTGAAGTTGTCACTCAGTGACGCATTTGGAGCGTTGAAGTTGTCACTCAGTGACGCATTTGGAGCGTTGAAGTTGTCACTCAGTGACGCATTTGGAGCGTTGAAGTTGTCACTCAGTGACGCATTTGGAGCGTTGAAGTTGTCACTCAGTGACGCATTTGGAGCGTTGAAGTTGTCACTCAGTGACGCATTTGGAGCGTTGAAGTTGTCACTCAGTGACGCATTTGGAGCGTTGAAGTTGTCACTCAGTGACGCATGTGGAGCGTTGAAGTTGTCACTCAATGACGCATTTGGAGCGTTGAAGTTTTCACTCAGTGACGCATGTGGAGCGTTGAAGTTTTCACTCAGTGACGCCTGGTGGTAATGGAAAATTTCCGCTCCTCCGATATTTAAGTTTATTGATTCCTATCACGCTGTGTACTTTGTTCCCATCACGATGTGTACTTTGTTCCCATCACGATGTGTACTTTGTTCCCATCACAATGTGTATTTTGTTCCCATCACAATGTGTACTTTGTTCCCATCACAATGTGTACTTTGTTCCCATCACGATGTGTACTTTGTTCCCATCACGATGTGTACTTTGAACTGCAGCTAGTTTCTCACCTTATATGTTCATTTCGCTGGCCGCAGCAGAAGATCACGTCTCATATTGCCGGTAATTTTCCTTAGGCGTTATCAAAACTCTAGAAGTGATGATTCATTTTCAGTTTCATTCATTGTCTTTCATTCATTGTCATTAACTTCTTAGTTAAATAAGCAAAATACCAAGTTCATACAAATTTGTAATTGCGTAAGTTCTATGGCGGCTAGATGCTAGTGTCCATCAGTGTTGCAAAAACTTACGTAAAAAAATCTTCCTATTTCTTCAAAGCTTTTCTTTTAGGCGAAATTATTTCGAATTATTACTTTACTTTCCTTTAGGCGAAAAGGTCGAGAATTCGCCCCCACACGTCGATTGCTAGCACAGTGTTTGGGTCTAAAATAATACTGAATGTCATGGGGCCATGGACCACAAATTTACCTTTTTGTGGCGGATGAATATGAATTGGATTGAGAATGATTCAAAACCAGTTTTCATTAGTCGGCACAGTTATTTAAAATTTATTCGCAGATCATAAACATTGAAATAAATCATGTATAAATTGAAAAAAAATAAGAAAGGCGACTTGTATAGTTGATTCCGGTGCTGACGCCTTCTTGTGCATTACTGTCTGATAGAAGCAACACGTTATTTATGGATGTTATTTACGGCTATTTACTGATTACGGTATGTACCCGTATTTCAACGTTACAATTTTGCTTTTCGACACTCGTAACACTTGAATTTGCTTTTTGGAACTACATGAAATGAAATAAAGCTATTCAAGATATTTTAAGAAAAAGCCATTCAAAATTTCGTTGTAGAAGATAATAAATTGTTATTAATAGCATATAAATAGCAATTACAATAGGCCTCGTATCACCCCGGCTCCTGCAGTGCACACTGCACGCTGCAGAACCCTGCCTCTGCACTCGCGCAGACATCCGAAATACTCCCAGTCTGCCATAGAATGATGCCGTTTTCTGTTCACAACATAGAAATTGAAAATTTTCTAGCAGAAACTGCTTTATAATGAAAAATTATGATGCATTCGTGATCGCAGATATATTTTATTTACTTTCCTGTTACTGAAGTGCTTCTGCAGTTATGGCTGAATTATACAACATTTCTCGCAGTGGCCATCGAACGCAGGCAGCAAGAACGTAGTCACCTTCGAACGTAGCCAATTGATGTGTAATTAACCCAGGCATTGTCAGATTCTGCTTTCAAAACAATTTGATAGAAAAACATAAAATCATAACAGAGGATCAGTTCGTCCTGCTCCGGGGTTATAAGCAGGAAGCCTGCGGCGTCTAGTAAACTTTAAACCTGTGCCAGTTTCTGGAAAGTGCATTCCAGAAACTGGCACAAGCATTCTTATCTAAAAGTGAGCATTCGACTCATAGTCAAAACAATAAGCGATCAACCAACAACCATGGTCATGAACTTCACAATCCTCGATTTCAAAGCTAAGTGGTGTTCAACAGAATTAAAATCTGAATATATTTCCTAAAATGTTGCAGTGAAATCAAGCTAGTCAAGGAAAACTAAATTAAACATTAAAAAAATATGAATCTTGTTCACCCGAGGTATTTCGATTCGTTGCGTCGCCTACACCGAGTCCTAATAATATGCTCATTTCCCTATTTTTGTAATGAATGAAGTGTTAGAGAGTGAAGGTATTAGAGAACGAAGTGTTTCCGAAACAAACTTCAAAGTTTCTCTTGAACAACTCAACCATCAATATAATTATCCGAACCTACATAAGGCTCAAATAGCCATGAATATTCAAAGATCAAAACATAAATGAAGAATTTGAAATTTAATAACGAACGCAGTCACACTAAAATATTCTACGAGCGTTTTAAATGTGATTTACTTGGTTCAACTACGGTAAATATAGACTAGCTATGAAGCAAAAAAAATTTCGTAATGGATATGATGGTAATTTACGGACATGATTATAATGAATATAATAGAATAGAATAGAAGTGTCTGCGTTGAAGAAATAGGCCCATGGCCTGTTGCCGATTCTTGAGCTTTTCGTGACTTTATTCACAATGGACATTGTTATAATGGATATATTGGACATGGTTATAATGGATATAATGGACATGAATATAATGGATGTAATGAACATGAATATAATGGATTTAAATTTGATGGATATAATGGACTTGGTTCTTCGATATGACAGGAAAACGAAGCAAATGCGTAAAAAAAACTTGGATATTGCTTCTATTTCAACAAAATTGCATCATATCAACATAACAATTCTCGATGGGTTGGCTGGTTAAGTTTAACCGCGGAAGTCTCTGTATTTTATGAAGGTTAGAGGAATTATTGAACTTTTCACATACGATGAACTTGACCTACATAAAATCAAAGTTGTCCTAGCACAGATAGACTAGATCAAAATAAATCAGATGTAGACTATTTCAAAATCTTTCCTTATTGCATTTCATTCAAGTCATTAATTCAGATCTTTCATGAGAAATTTGAAAGTGAATGAATTCTCTTCTGTAAGCTATTAGCTTCAGGGTAAAACTCGTTTTCACAAGAGAACTTGATAAAATACTTATTATTCGCACTGATATCTTATATGATTTTTTCCAAAACTGGCATAATTTAGTGTAATCAATGTTAAGTCTTCTATAAAGTATGTACCACAATCTATTTATTCGTAGACGCCTACAACTGTATAAGTACCCGAAATATTCATGTTGATGATGCTTGACGGTGAAGCTCTAGCAAACTCTGTCCCAGCTTAAAAATTATCTTATGTTTCACCCTTAAGCTATCTATGTTTCTTCCGACGCTACTCTGTGTTTTCAGGAACTAACTATAGAAATCAACTGATGAATGTATGCACTGCGTAGTTATCGTCATTATTCATGCAGGCTCATTGCCTATATACATGCAGGGTGGGGCAGAACCGATTGAGCAGTTTTGAGGCATAATAAAAGAGTAATGGAGGTAAATAAAGAAGAAAGTTTATTTCCCTCGAGGTAAGCATAACATACCATTTGGAATACTTATGTTTTGAAAATAATATCAGAAAGATGGTGGCCGTTAGCTGCATCACACTGTTGGAGTCGTTCTCGGAAGTTTCCTACAGCACGTTCACACATATGGCAAGGTATGGCCATAACCTCTGCTACAATAATCCGTCCCCTTAGCTGTGGTAGGGTGTGAGGGCGACTTCTGAACACCCTTTCTTTTAGATGTCCCCAAAGAAAGATATCGCAAATGCTCAATTCAGGTGACCTCGCCGAGACCCCGAACGTCTGGTGTCTCTGAGGGGTGATTAGCAGTGGCATGCGAGGTCACCTGATTTGAGCATTTGCGATTTGATAATGCGATAACGGCCACCATCTTCCTGATATTCCTGACTTTCTTCATTATGAACCTCCACTACTCTTTTATTACGCCTCAAAACTGCTCTATCGGTTCTGCCCACCCTGTGTTTCCAATCCTCGTCTCGTGCTGTGGTCACGGAAGTATGTTATTCCGCTACCGCAGACGCACGCTCTTAAGCCCCTTTCACACAGGGCAGTAGATACTGCGCGCGTCAAAAATGCCGCGGCAGTATTTACATCGCAATCTTTCACACGAGGCGCTTTTTACTGCTGGGATCTATCAGTCTTGCAGTGCTTTATGCTTCATCAGTCAATCTCTATGTTTATGTAACAATATTTCTATATGGAAATCTATCTCTACGTGAGAATAGTGTAAATACATCTTTATGGAAATACCTATATATTTTATGGAAAATATATCTTATATGAAATATATCTCTATCACTTCAAGGATATATATATATATTTATCAATGTATATCTTTATGTTTATGTAACATTATTTGTGTTCCGATATTTATGTAATAATATTATGCTATAATCTATGTCATTCAGTGCTGTTTATTATGAACCTAAAATACGGCACCACTGTCTGCTAGGATGTGGCGTCAAAAACCACCCAGTGTGAAAGATTACATTGAATACCATTGCAAGCTAAACTGTCGCGGCAAATCTACTGCCGCAGTTTTAGCAGGACACACGCTGGCGTCAGGCGTCAGGTTCTACGCCGCGGTAAAAGCAGTCGTGTGTGAACAGCAGTGCACATTTCGTATGTCCGCTAAGATTCGGCAGTAAATACTGTCGGACGCTGGCAGTATTTACTGCCCTGTGTGAAAGGGGCCTTAGTCTATACAGAAGTTAACCTGCAACTAGTACTACTAGTGGATCTAACTAGTGGGTTGGGCGGCCGGCACGCAGTCCTAGTATATACATGACTCATACTATTCACATATTTCTTGACTCCTGTGACTGAGCACTTGCGGTCGATTTATATTATTCACATATTTCTCGACTCATGTGACTGAGCACCTGGGGTCGGTGCGGTCTTGGCTTTTTGAGACTATAGACGACCAACTGATTTTTTTTCTCTTCTGGGCCTGTTAGTGGGAGAATAGTTAGGCATTGCAAAACCCGGAGGAAAGGATTGAATTAAGAGCCGATGCTGTTTTTTTTTTAAGGTTTACATTAATTTACCTTCATAGTCACAAAATAGTTCATTTCATATTTTGAAAAATCAAATCTGAGTTTAGCTCAAAATGTGGGTTTGAACAGGTCTTTCTTTAAACGGCATACATTCATATAATATTATTAATGTCATTCATGATAACTGCATCAAAAAATTTGAGAGATTATTTATCAAGGGGAACACCGGGCTAATTTGTTAGTATGTTATTATTAATTCATTAAATCTTGTTTATTGCGTTAATACTGAACGCATCAAGTTCTTGTTATGCACGGTGGCCGCTGGGACCATGTTGCACATTTTTACCATGCACCATTGATCCATGTAACTCAATTTGAGAACCCCTGCGCTGGCGTTAAAACCATTAAGAAGCTGAACAATTACATCAGCAGGCGAATGTTCTAATGCACGAGGCGTGTTTTTAGAACAAATATTGTTTTTCGTTACACCGCCGCAACTGGACGGCCGCAGTTTAGTACAGGGTGCGGCGCGGGAACTTACTTATTTGAATTGCGCGCCACGTGGCGGCCATTAGTCCTAGGAAGGTGGCGCCATGTTGAAATCCTTAGTGTACACCAATCGTCCGAGGACCCTAGCTGAACTGCAGAACAACATTCGCGTTGCTATTGCTGACATTGGTCCAGACATGCTTGAGAAGGTGGAGCGAAACTTCCGATCTCGTCTGACAAAATGTATTGAACAGCATGGAGGTCACCTACAAGATGTAATATTCAAGAATTAAACTTGTAAGTAAACCCAACGAAACTTTAAATGTAGCTCTTTGTAAAAAAGAAAGAATTAAAACGCTATCTTTAATACTTTTTACTTTGTGATTTTTTTAAAAGAGTAAGTTCCCACGCCGCACCCTGTACATGTGCACCGTGTAGCTACATCTGTTGGAAAGCCACAGATGCTATATAACGAAACCGTCCAATCGTGTTTTAATTTTTATAGGTGATTTTAAAATGCCTCCACCTATTGAAAATCGCGCCCACTGTTAATTGCGTGCGTTTTTCTGTGCCCAAGGCTTCAAATCAGTTGAGATACGTAGCTAAACCAGTGAGGTGTATGGTGAAAACATTACGAGTGAAGGAATCTTGCAGAAATTGGTTAGGGTCCTTAAAGATGGCCGCACAACGTTATGATGAGTAACGAATTAAGTGGGAGGCATTCAGTCTTTACCGATGATCTTATTCAAAAAGTATACTATACAGTGAAAGAGAACAGACTCTTCACGATTTCGTCATTAGCTCAAAATTTGTCAGCTCTCCCAAACTGTGTTCGATACGAAATTGTCTAATCAGGCTGTCTTATCAGGCGGCAAGCTTCTTTGATGATGGCATACAGAAGCTGGTCTCAAGAGACGTTGAGAGCCACAATATTAATGGGAAGGACGTAGAAAAGTGGAGTAAAATATGGCCTTTCA